GATCGATAAAATTTACAGTGAAATTATTTCCTTAACTGAAAGTAAGGATCATATAAACGAAATGTCCGTCCGTCCGTTCGTCCGCAGAAGAGTAGTGACACCTGCTTTTAAATTAGCTTTTAATTTGCGAAAAGAACGCTAAATTTGGATAAGTAGCATTTCTCGCCATGATGCAAACATCTGACAAATTTGGCTCCGCAACCAAAAATGTCAGAAATTAAATTTCACATATTGTATCTGCCGACACCAACTTCGTATGTTATAAGGTGCAATGGCTGGTTTACATTGTGTTCTGGGGTTTTCCATGTTTAACCCATGGCGACCTGGTTTTTTCACAATTTGATCTAATGAGATTGCTACGTTGTTGTCTTGGAGGGTCAGGTGTGTTTGTTTTCGTTGTTTGCGTATGTATATGCTTAGGTGGATGGTAGGTTGTTTTGTTTTGTTGGTCTGTTGTTTTTTGCTCTTTAGCATGTGTGCGTGACTATCATGAGCACTATCATGACAGTATCTATCTCGAAAGCGTTATCTCATTTTCTTGAGAAAAGAAACTTTTGCATATTATTAGAAGGTAAGCGGAATAAACAGTTCAATAGTGCAGATATCATGTGCATCTGAAGTGCATCGAATCAGCAAAGACGTTGTTTATTCATCTCACACAAAGAGAAAGAGAGCGATAAAATTTACAGTGAAATTATTAATTATCTAACTAATCAGTTGAGATATAAACAATTCCTAATTATCATATAAAAACCTAATAAAACAAAAGAACGCGTTATTGTTATTAAGGTAGCAAGCTGAGGTGTAAATATGAATCGGCAACGAATTACCTCGTAACCTGATATGCTCCCTCCGAGCTCTAATAACATTAATTTAATTTTTAAGTAATAAACATTTGTCAACGACATTCGCGTATAAAAAGAGACAGTTCAAATAGAGGAACAAAAATTCAACAAACAATTTATCTTAATGTCGATGAATCCTTATGTAGCGATCTTCACGAAAAAGAAAAACTTTACAAGATCTCTCAAAAATAAAGTGTTTGCTAAGGTAATTGACATACTGATTTCATGATGTTTTACCCGGTTTCCTCTTCAGGAACACCATGCAATCAAGGTGGATCATTCACTTCAGACTCGCTTCGAAACTGAGCTAATTCTACGTTCAGGAAGTTAAGAAAGTGGATATAAACTGGAAAAAAGTTCGAGTATAAAAGTAGTCTTCAGATTGCTTTAATAAAAAAGTGCCTTATATAACAGACACTGTTTAAAATGTGAAGATATCTTCAATCACACGTGTATGTCATATAAGCAAGGGGGAAAAAGCATACTTCTGTACTTCTCGGTACTTCTTGATACTTCTTCGTACTTCTTCGTACTATTTTGTACTTCTCCGTACTTCTGAAGTACGGAGAAGTACAAAAAAGTACGAAGAAGTATCAAGAAGTACGGAGAAGTACCAGACGTACAGAAGTATGCTTTTTCCCCCTTGCATATAAGTCATATACAGAAATACATCTGTATCTGTATATAAAGTCTTTCACGTTGCAAAATGTTAGAAAAGTATATGTGCCTTATATATGAAATATCCTCCTTCGTATGAAACATATACTTTCGTTAAGTGAGAAAGAAATGCCGTTGATTTAGATATAACGCACGTGCTCTTGTTTTCTCCATGTATCATATATTAGGACACTTTTAAGTTAAGTAAACAAATACACATTTATGGTTTGATTCTATCATTTTCAGAATTTTGTAGAAGACCATGAAAGCGCGTGCTTTTTTTTTACAACAAAAAATTTGGTTCGATTGGTCATAGTCTTTTGAGTATTCCGATATAAGATTGAGAAGGTTTTGTTCAACTCGGTAAGCTGAAAAAACTGTTTCTTAGTGTTACACTAAAAATATCCTGCGAGATTTATTCTGTCTATATCCAGGCAGAAAATAGTAAGCAAGGAATCTAGCTTATCAAATAACTCAAGTGCTCGCTTAATCCTAGATTTTTTGGGTCAAATAGCTAGCTCAGTTGTGTAAGTGCTCGCTTGCTAGCTTCAAGCGGACGATCGAGTGGACGCTTAATTGAGCGATTAGCGCCAAATTCAAACGCATCAGCTAGCTTCAGCTTACTTAAGCTAGCTTTGATGAGTTAAAAATTGGGTCAAGCAGCTGCAAGCGCCCATTTTACGATTTATTTTATCTGCTTGCGTAACTTGATCAAAACTGAGTATAACGGACACTCATAATACATCTATAGATTTCTCGAGATCAGGGTTATCTATCCGACTGGATGTAAACCCTTTTTAGAAGCATACCCGTTGTGCAAGAAGTATTAAGGGCCGCAATACTTCAATTTAACCCTTTAAAGCCCAATGGGCATTCAAACAGGCATTGGCATTACCATAATAACAAACTCAGGACGCATTCTTTAAAAACCCTCATCGTATATCGGTTGTAGATAATTAAATAGGTTCTCGAATGGTAAAAAGCTATTTGATTTAGGTTTTATATCTTGTCTTGATAGGAAGGTTTGTGATAAATTTGACATTTTTTCTTTAATATCCTTTCACAAAATTATTTAAAATTTCCGAGGTGACTTTTAGAACTTTGTCTTAAAAACAAATATTGTCACAAGGCTCAGCATGATCGATTACCTATAGTCCATCCGGTTGCAAGGCTACCAATAGTCACCGAGTATCAGTCCTGGGACTCGCAGGAAATCCTACACAACACCCAGCCGCGGAAAATCAAGGTTTCCTTTGACTCTCATTTTGTAGACGATACCTTGTGCTATCATAGCATGGAAGAAAATCAATACAATCCTATTGAAAAAGTTTTATGCACAACCTGGTTTTCCAAGGATCTACTAGAGAACCTGTTTCAGAAAACACTTTCGGAGAAGTTCATGCTTGTGAAAACATGTCAGCAAGTCTCTTCATCCGCATGGCGAAGGTCGAAGCTCTCTTGCTGCCTTCTTTCAATGTTATTCCAAAAACATCCGTGTTCTTTATATTTTGAAATGGATAGTAGTCACTGGATGCCAGTCCTAGGACCCCAGTGGAATCCGATACCACGACTGAACCGCTGACAATCAAGGTCGCGCTTGACTCTCATTTTGAAGATGACGCTTTGGACTATGTATCCATGTAAAAAAACAGAATATTTGTATTTCAAGTTCTTGAGTAATAACTTGGTTTTCTCAAGATCCTCTGGAAAACGTAATTTGCAAAAAGTTTTCGAAATTACTTTCATGATAAAAGGATGCGGTCAAGTCTTTGCTTTCAATTGTTGAAGACCACAAGTTTCTATCACTTTCCCATCAAATGTTATTCAAAGAACATCCGAGTCCATTTTTTTACTAACAATACTCAGAGACAATATAGTTCTTGAAAAAAATCTAATTTCTCAGCCAATGTACGACCAAGTGCTGGGAATTTATTTCTCCATAAACCTCGAAGGTAGTACTATCTAATATATGATTCAGAATTTTTATTCGCAAATTGTTTCTTTCCGGTTTTTCTTTCGGAACGGTACAATGCCGATGCAATTCTCCCATATATTTGCAACTTCTATCTTTTAAAGTAATATATCAAGTGCTGAAAGTTTTCCTTTATCCTCTTTTTCTTGGAAAGGCTTTTCAATGTACAATTATCTCTTAGTAGTGCGCCATTATAAAATTAACCTCAATTGTAGTACAACTATGCTGCAAACGTAGAGACTTTCTTCGAGTAGTAGACTGGTTTTGCACTTCGAAGCACTTCAACTATAGTATAAGCACGCTTTACCTATATTAAAATGATAAAACACAGATCCAATAGAATTTCAGTATCACACTTTAAGTGCGCAAAAAGGTAGCCTATGTGTAGTACGAACACAAATAAAGCGTGGTACGTCGCCTTATTGGACGTTCATTTGGACGATGTTTATCACGCTTCATCCATGATTTCTTTACACTTGAAACATCTTTTTTACAACGGTCTTTTCTACAGTGCTATTCTTTTCTTTTTCTCATCATGTGTGTGTTATATAGGTTCAGAAAAATAATATAAAGTATAACACAGACGCAATTGTTTGAAAATATTATGCGTGTTCTTGAATAGGTAAATCAGACATAACAAAGAGGTTAAACAGTTAAGAATGAGTAACTAAGGATTTTCGCTTGTACATTCCTAAGGTTCAAGAATAAATAGGAAAAAACGAACGATTCCTGTCTGAAATGACAACAGAGAAAAATCTTGCCAGAGCATCTTCAACACATTCCCCTAGTGAAGCAAACTGCTGTTCAGATCTTATTTAGAAAAAAGTTTTCTAGTAAACGATAACTCGCTCATATATTATACTGAATCAAGTTAAAACCTATGGTAAAACTGATGCGTCTCTCAAAAAGTTTTAAATTTCACTTGCCAAAAGTAGCGTCTATTCAGGGCTCCCAGGAATTTTTCCACTTCCAAAATTTTGAAAGGGGGGCATTTAGAGGAGAAAGTAGAATTGCAGCTGCTCAAAAGTCGGATGAACAGCAGGACATTTTTAACAGTGAAATTCTAGGTTTTCATGAACTAAAGAATGGGTAAAAATAAAAGAAAAAGTCTGCAGAACTGATCGGTCCTCGAAAGTTCAAGCAAGGAGGATAGAAAAAAATATTGGTGCGAGCGCAATAATTTTTGATGACCTTTTGTTTGAGGAAAAAAGATTGTTCCAGTTTTTCCATTGTTGGAAAAAACTTTTGGACGCAGAAAAAAGAGATCGAATTTTTTGCTAAAACCTATATGGAAAATTGAGTCTTTCCCCAAACCAGAATGTACATGAAACTGTATTACTACTTGTTCCGGATCTGGACCGACCCAACCCTGCATTTCTTCTCGCTCTGCGCTATAGTATGTATTGTGTGTTGCTACCTTGAACTTTTTCAGATATATTAGCATTAATACACAAACAAATATAAAATTAAAACAAATATATAGCATGAAGCATCTGAATATTATTATTTTATTACTGATAGTTTATATGAATACTGAATTGGATCGCCGTGAAGTAAGAAATACCATTAAGACGATTTTTGTTTAGCCATGACTAAATGCTGATCAAATAACTAAACAGTATTGCCTCCACGTTAAGCAACAACTTGACTTTCTTAACCATTAAATAAAGTGTCTCTTTTTGCTATAGTAGTGTGTATCAGGTGGTGACTGATTATTTATGATCTCTACTGTATAGCAAAATAGAGTAGGGATTTTTGTTATAGAAGTCAATGTGTGCATAATATGATCAATATTGATTATCCGATTTGCGAGTTTTGACGTGAAAATTCCAGAATGTATTGTGGCACAATAATGTGAAAGAGTATTTCCACGCAGTTTTGTTCATTTTTAAATAGAATTTAAAAACAAGAGAATCTCGACTCACTAATTTATTTTTTGAAAAAAAACTTGAACGAGTTTCAAAAACTGGAGAAAAAAAAGAGAGAATCCCAATTTACTCCTCCAGTGTTACATTCAATCAAACTACTTTTTGTTTTATCTTCAACATGATATTCCTCAATTTTCTCCTTTTTTTATAGGGCAAAAAACGTTTAGCATTCTTGATAGGAAATGCTGAATACGAATGTGAAAGAAATGTAGCCTGCTCAGTTGATAGTGTTTTACAATTCTCCATTGTATTAAATGAGTTGAATTTTGGTTGTTTGATGTTGATAGATGGTAATAAAAGTATAATTGAAAACTCATTTACGTGGTTTTTACAAATGGTAAATGATGGTGATACTGTTCTTATCTATTATGCTGGCCATGGGGCACAGAGTCTGGTACGTAACGAGACAGCTTGCCAGTGTATCTTAACTACTAAACTATTTTCCTATCTAAAATTCGGTTAATAAGTGATAGATTAGAGTCGTTTTTTTGACAATGTGGGTATGCAAGAAAAGTCAGTGAAAAAGTGGTTGGCCATTACTAGTGGTGTATATTGATGTATAACGAGAGTTATTATAAAAGGTTTCACCTTAACATTTTTACTACAAATTTCTTATCCCTTTCAATAGTTCGAGATAAAACATCTATACGTTAATATACTAGAAACTGATCGCTGCTGAGATACCAACTTTTTCAAAAAAATGTCAAAATTCGAGTCGAAAAATCGACACTTTGCATATTGAACTTTTTCAAAATAGAGCCAAGCTTGCTTTTCCTAAAAACTACTCGCATACCAGTTGATAGAACGATGAACAAAATGTGACACGTTTTGGCTTTTTGGAGTTAAATCTGAAGTGGAAAAAGTTAAGATCCTAAACTTTAAAAAGTTTAAAAAGGTGGTGTTTTCGTTCAAAACGGCTGTCAGAACTCGAAGATATCGAGGACTAAAAATTTCTGTAGTCTGTGCTGTAGAGCTTGAAATTCTCCACAAGATGCACCGCAGCACATTGGTATAAATCCTCAGGAAAGTGTTCAAATTCCAGTTGTAATGAGACCGAGTAGAAAAAGTGGTCATTTAAATTCAATTTTTAGAGTGCAAAAAAGCAGTTTTGGGGTAAACTAAACAGCAGATTTGGAAATTTCGTAGAAAATTGTATCCAGATATATGTAAAACACAGACAAAAATTTTTTGTCGAAAATATTCCTCTAGTAACTGTCAGCTGAAATCTGACAAAAAATGACTGGAGAGGAGTATGACTGAAATTTTCGAAATCCAACTTTTGGTTTGGATAGATTTAATAAAGACGTATCTGGAACCAGTTTTTCACGCCGATTCCGAATCTAATGCGGATTTTGCTTAAAAAGCGCTTTTATGACTCGAAATTTGAATTTAAATGTCAAGTTATCCTAGTTCGTCTCCTTCCGCCTGAAATTTGAGCACTTTTCTGAGATCTATTTCAATAGTGCATTTTGTAGACGATTTCAAGCTCTATAACATGAGCTATGAAAGCTTTTGTTCATAATAATTTCAAAGACTGAGAGCGGTCTTAAACAAAAGTGTTTACTTTTTAAAACTTTTTCAGTCCGAGTGACTCGTAAAAAAATTAGCCCAGTCCTGGTTCGAGTCCACGCGGGACCGAAATCGAAACTGAAACAGTCAATGTCTAATGTGCACTGATCAGCTTTGTAATAAAATGTTCTCTTTAGAATCAATTTTATTTGATACCGATTCCACATCCATGTTCATCTACCATAGACTGTGACAAGCAATTAATTAATATTTGTTTGATCATTCAACAATTATACACGTTTAACAATTTAACCATCGTCATTATATTGGATTGTTGTCGTGTACATAGTTGTGGGAATGGAAGTGGAAATTTAAAATTGAAATGTAATTTACAGTGTCCTCAAACTTCTGATCTGTTATAAGGCGCCGCTAATTCAAAGGAGGAGCAACATCTTATTTCCGCTTTTAATACACATATTCGGATAGAGAATTTCACGCTGAGTCCGAATATGACCTTTTTACTTTGATTTTATTGAGTTTTGGGG